TGAGTTGGAATTGACTGGACAACAACGAGTTTTTGTGACCCAAGGGAGGCAGTTGTAGTATAGTGGTTAAAAGCATGGGCTTTTGTGCAAGACTGCCTGGGTTTGAATCCTCCTAGTCTGCTTATTAACCATGTGATCTTGGCCAAGGTAGTTAATTTCACTGTACCCATTTTCTTTCTTCATCTATAACATGGGCTATATAATATTATCGACAACATAAAATTGATATGAATATTAGTTGACTAAATGCAGGTAAAGTGGTTAAAACAATAGCTAGCAAGCGCTTAATGAATGTTAGATATTATTCCAACAGGCTGTCAAAATAGAAGTCTTGCTGTCTCAGTTTTGGCAGAGGCAGGAAGGCACTAGCTGCTATATTCCAAAGTGAGCCAATTTTGCAGGAACGTCTAAGTGGTGTTCAAGAACTGGTTAAATACCTCACCTATTTTGAGGAGTTGGAAACTACAGAGAGGTCTTGTAAAGTTTCTAGAGCATATGACTAATGAGCTATGAATCCCACATTCCCACTGCAAAGGGATGTGGGTAGGGGCAGAGGTGACTGTTACTTGAAGTCACCTCTGGAATGTATGATGCTTTTGTGAGAATTGGGAAAAGGTGTCTCCCCTTCCCCAGGTAAAATCTATATGATAAGGAGGCCCTGCTGCCCTTTATCTCAGGCCCAGTGAAAGGGTGTTCAACGGGATAGCTTGAGGAGATTAATATGTATCCCCTGAAGCTGAGGGACACAGCAGACTAGTATCTGACTTTCATCTGATTGTTTAGAGGTAAGTGGGAGAGATATCACTATCCCATAGAATTCATTGGACCAAATGAAGCCAGAACGGGATTATCTTAATCCACGACAAGAGGGCTGCATGGAGGGGCAGAGGGAGCTCAGTGTAAAGAGACTTCAAGTGAATTGCCAAATTCCTAGATACTGAAGGATACAAGCCATGGGCTGGAATTGAGATATATTTGTCATCATCAGGGAACTATAGATCAAACCATCCCAATGACGGGAGGATTTCTCTCAAGACATCAACCCAAGGGAGAAAGATTCAGCTTCAAAAGCTTGCTAGGCAAAAGCTAACTTATAACAGTGTCAGACAAGTAAGAACTTTCCTGCCACTTCTTCCCTTGCCTCCCACAATCCTCTCTCCCGATTCTTTTCTTCCCCTCGACTCTGGAAGTGGCAGAAACTACGGTTAGATAATGGAGGAGAAAGATTAGAAGTGGAACATGGGGGTGGAAGGGGGGAGAAGAAGCAGAGAAGAAGCCAATCATGCCCCTTCCCCAACTCAAAACATCTCATCTGTAGCAGGCTGCAGCTGTGGCTACTCTTTCTCAGGGGAGATATTTACCTTTAAATCAAAGGTTAGTGTCTTTATTATTATACAGGTTGGCCTTATTAAGTACTGAGTTGAAACCTTGAATGTGACCCACTCCCTCTAGGAGTGGTAAATAGCAACTACTTTTCTAAGACCTCAAGGCTCACTTCCTATTCTGATCTCTTCATCCAGAGCTGACCATTCTCTGTGCTGCTCTACTCCTATCAGAGCCCATGGAACACTTAAATTCATTTGGTTATTTGCATGTCTTTGCTCGCAAACATCCTGTGAGCTCTAAGAGGGCAGGGATGAATTATTGATCTTTGTACCACCAATGCCTAACACTCACTGGCACACAATTGTCTCCCAATAAAGATTACAAAAGTAA